GCTCTAATTCCCTACGCCCCGTATTTCCACGCGGCGGAATTCCACGCATTATATTCCCTACGCTCCGTATTTCCATGCGGCGGAATTCCACGCGTTATACTCCCTACGCTCCGTATTTCCACGCGTTGAATCTCTACGCGGCGGAATTCCACGCGCTCTAATTCCCTACGCCCCGTATTTCCACGCGTTGAATCTCCACGCGCTCTAATTCTCTACGCCCCGTATTTCCACGCGTTGAATCTCCACGCGCTCTAATTCCCTACGCCCCGTATTTCCACGCGTTGAATCTCCACGCGCTCTAATTCCCTACGCCCCGTATTTCCACGCGTTGAATCTCCACGCGCTCTAATTCCCTACGCCCCGTATTTCCACGCGTTGAATCTCCACGCGCTCTAATTCTCTACGCTCCGTATTTCCACGCGTTCAATCTCCACGCGGCGGAATTCCACGCGTTCTAATTCCCTACGCCCCGTATTTCCACGCGTTGAATTTCCACGTGCTCTAATTCCCTACGCCCCGTATTTCCACGCGGCGGAATTCCACGCGTTATATTCCCTACGCTTCGTATTTCCACGCGTTGAATCTCTACGCGGCGGAATTCCACGCGCTCTAATTCCCTACGCTCCGTATTTCCACGCATTGAATCTCCACGCGCTCTAATTCCCTACGCTCCGTATTTCCACGCGTTGAATCTCTACGCGGCGGAATTCCACGCGCTCTAATTCCCTACGCCCCGTATTTCCACGCGGCGGAATTCCACGCGTTGAATCTCCACGCGCTCTAATTACCTACGCCCTGTATTTCCACGCGGCGGAATTCCACGCGTCATAACCCCCACGCTCCGTATTTCCACACGTTGAATCTCCACGCGGCGGAATTCCACGCATTATATTCCCTACGTCTCCTATTTCCACGCGTTATATTCTCTACTCCCCCCATTTCTACGCGTCCGTGTTTTTCTTTAGTAATTCAAAAGCGAAGCTTCAAACCCCATTTTTGCAAAGGGAAATCTTATTCAGAATCACATCCCCTCGGACCTACACTAATTGTGAGACACCCTGTATTAAGATGGCCATGAAACGTTTCTTACAAGTGTCCTTGCTAAAGTTCTACATGTGGACAAAGATCGACGAGGAAATTTGAGCCAGCTTCCTAATATGTTTCACAGATATCGAGGACCCCGAATGTTTTTTGTCTTCGAATGTGGGAGATGAATGGGGGACTACCCACATATCTGTCGTCGCCAAATGAGTTAACTGATCGCGCTGGTGTAGTTTGCCATGCTTCGTTATTGAACTTATTCGTGAACTTTTTCGTCAAGATTGTTGTAAAAAATATATGTAATATATTATTGTACAATAATTGTATATAATTGTTGTAAGAAATATGTGTATAAGTTTATATTATATAAGTAACATAAGTCTTTTGTTACACACCACATATGAATAACATTATAAAGTCTTAAAAAAATTTCAAAATTTTTAACATCAACAGACCATCAATGAATTATCTAATTTTAATGTAACATCCCATAAAACTTTGTGCATCCACAATTTATGAAGTCATTTCTTTGCCGGCTCAATGAATCTAATTTATTATTCGCGTACAGTGAATCAGATTTGTATCGCGAAGTAGACACAACGTATTAACGCTTAAAGTATTGCTAAAGTGAATACACCTACGCCAATGCGTAGAACGTTTCACAAGATCGAGCGAGAGGCAAACGTAATGATCGTCCAAAGCCAGACAAGTCTCTCGTAGGTAGAACAGGCTAGCAAAGCCCCTCTAATGGTGCGGCAAGTTAAATAAAAAGGAGACCGTCGTGTATGCGCGTGGACTAACGGTGTTACATACGTATCCCAGAAATGGGGAATGTAGGGTCCAGAAAAAGGATCAGGTTTTCCTGCGTCCCTCCCCGCTTCTATCCCACATTTTTCTATGGGGTAACGGCATCGTTGAAGGTAAAGACCAAACGATTTTCTGGTAATATGGCGAATTCTAACGAGGTTATACAGGGTGGATCGTAAGTAGTGTTACGAGGAGTGGTGTTGAAAGGGGTGGTAGAGGATGTCTTTCTGAGAGGATGTCTTCCTTTCAGGGAGTGATACTAGTTATGAGATAGCCTGTATACGATTCGCAATATTCCACATCCATCTGTTTATATTTAATCCACATTCTGATAACAGTGAACTTCGACACTCAAAGTTACACCTGAATCTCCTAGACTTCAAAGTCTTGACATCCCTTAAAAGTCTTAACCCTTTGCACTCGAAGGTAATTTGACTGTTTACAAACAGCAACTTTAAAGCTTAATTAAAAAGTTAAATGAATTTTCTTGAAGTTATTATTTCTTTACTAATAATTTCCGCTGTTGTTTGTTTCACTATGTTTATACATCACACATGTCATGTTATAGAATCAGTTAAAAAATGCTTATTTAAAATTATTATATTAAATATAATGGTGACTATGAGTCACCTCTCGAGCGCAAAGTCTTAACATTCCTATAACTAAAAATACCTAAACCTTGCCAAATCCGAATGTTACCATAAAATTCAAAATCTGAACTTTACCCTAAAAAGCAAGATGTTCCTAAAGCCCTAAAAGCTTGCATATTTCTGTATATAATGTAACAAGGAAATCTCGACTTCTAGGTCGACCTGTTGAGATAAACGTCCAAAACAAGGTCTGACGTTATAGACGGCGCGAAAACAAGCCTGCAGACTTTCTCGACCCATTGATCGCTCCTGTTGCGTATCAAGCGGAAAATAACTTGTCGTTTTTAACACACGCAAATCCACGTGCATTCCAAGCTCGGCAAGTGTAAAATGGATTAAAAATAATCAGATCGTGTTCAGTCTTCGAGCGTAGCGCTGAATGTATTGACGACAGGAAAATGGCGACTTATCTTCAGAGCGAGGAATGCGAATAGTAGTGAGACTCTAAGAAAATTTGGGAAGATTAGGGAGGTTCCAAACTCCTAGAGTTCCAAACTCTCTAGAGTCCCACACTCCCTAGAGTCCCACACTCCCTAGAGTCCCAAACTCCTAGAGTTCCAAACTGTCTAGAGTCTAACACTCCCAAAGTCCCAAACTCTCAGAGTCCCATACTCTCAGAGTCCCAAACTACCAGAGTCCCAAACTCTCTAGAGTCTAATACTCCCAGAGTCCCAAACCCTCAGAGTCCCAAACTCCCAGAGTCCCACACTCCCAGAGTCCCAAACTCCCAGAGTCCCAAACTCTCTAGAGTCCCACACTCCCAAAGTCCCAAACTCTCAGAGTCCCATACTCTCAAAGTCCCAAACTCCTAGAGTTCCAAACTCTCTAGAGTCTAATACTCCCAAAGTCCCACACTCTCAGAGTCCCAAACTCCCAGAGTCCCACACTCCCAAAGTCCCAAACTCCCAGAGTCCCACACTCCCAAAGTCCCAAACTCTCAGAGTCCCACACTCCCAAAGTCCCGAACTCTCTAGAGTCCCACACTCCCAAAGTCCCAAACTCTCAGAGTCCCAAACTCCCAGAGTCCCAAACTCTCAGAGTCCCACACTCTCTAGAATCTAATACTCCCAAAATCCCAAACCCTCAGAGTCCCACACTTCCAGAGCCCCAGTGTTTCAACTAGCTCCTGTTCTCCTATATCTTTTAACACTGAAACTACCAAACTAGTCAAATAACCGCTCCACAAGTTTCCTATTATAAAATACACATTTTGTTAAAGTACATTCCTTAAGCATTGATTTTCATCAAGATAAGGAATAATGTGTACTAACTTATGTTTCATCGTTTACTTATTTATTTTTTAATTTCTAATTAAGTACACATAGGTTTAGTGTTAATGCATCCCTTGTTTTGAAGTTCGCACAGAATTTATACTTCGACTGGATGAAGTTTTTGTGCGTGTAGAACTATCGTACGATGAAGATAGATACGAGCACAAATACCACCGGAAGAAGCAATTTAACGGGTTCACCACGCTACGTTTATTCATAAGTAAAATCAAACGGTCCGGTTAAGCCTGTTAATTGATCGTGGGGAATTGTCATGCACACCGCATTATACCTGCATAACACGATTCTGTTACAGGTATGACAATGGAATGCGAAGCGACGCGTAAATGCGACTGTGTGCGCGATGAGTAAAAGTCTATATTCCAAGGTCCAATGAAGAAGAAAATTCTTTCGAATACCGACAGATTACAAAGGGACTCCATTATGAAGAGAAGGCAGATTTTCAAGTAAAATCTGTGAAAATGATTTTCAAGTACAATCCGTGAATCTCCAAATTTAATTTGAAGGGTGAAGAAATTTTTATTTTGTCAAGTTCAGAATTGTTCACATTCTTAGTGTCTAAATTTGTATTTAAATATTTTTAAAATCGT